GTTGGCCTTTAAAAGAGAAGCATAATAATAAGTTAAGTGTTGCCGAGATGAGAATGATTAGGTGGATGAGTGGCTTTACACTTAGAGACAAAATGCGGAATGAATATATTCGTGATAGGGTTGGTGTAGCTCCTGTGACAGACAAAATTAGAGAAAGTCGTCTTAGATATTTTGGTCACATTAAACGTCGACCATCTGATGATCCGATTAGGAGAGTAGATGTTTTAGATTCGACTTGTGTTAAGAAAGGCAGAGGTAGACCTAGGAAGACTTAGGCTTATTGTATTAAAAATGATCTTAATTTACTAGAACTAAATGAAAATATGACACTAAATAGGACGCAATGGAGAAAAAAAGATTCATGTAGCCGACCCCACATAGTGGGATTAAGGCTTTGTTGTTGTTTTTGTAAGTTATCCACTAAAAAATGATGGGCCTGAAGCAGTGGATAGATTCCCTCTATTTTGATCTTGGGGCCATGGGTTTGAGCCATGCAAGCATTCTCGTTATAAACATATTGAGTGCAAAGATTGTGTGCATCAACTTCTTCCAAACATCAACTTAGGGTCTGTTTGGCGCAGCTGTAACTTATCCAACTTATCCAGATAAGCAGTTTATCATGACAATTTGCTGATCAACAGCTTATCCTGATAAGTTGGTTGACTATTTGGTTTCTGCGTTTGGAAAACAACTGATTTGCAGCTATTTCTTGATAAATGACTATTCAGCCCCTGTGTAGTAATGTTGTTTGCAATAGAACTGTCATAGCAATATATTTGATACTTGATAAACAAAAAACGACTTCAGAACAATACCAAAAATAAGTTAAAGACCTAAAAATAAAATATTACAAAAAAATCATCCTATTTAATAAATAATCAAACGAATCATGTCACAAAAACGAGGAAATTTAAGTTATTTATGTTTGATTTTAAAATTCCTAAATTTACAATATGACAAGCGTAATTTTTAAATAATCAATCAATTTGGGATTTACTGCTCCGAACAAAATTTTGGGAGAGAATTGCACCCATGACATAGGGAGATTCTTACAAACAATTTAAAAAATGCTCACGCATTTCCCATGAGATTGGAATCTTTAAAAGAAAATCCTAGAAAATTTTTATCAAATAAATGGACAACTACTCAGAAGATCCTAAGGTCAAAAAAGGATTGTTCAAACTAATCAAATAGAATAAAATTTCAATTTCTGCTCCTGTTGAGTTAAGAATGTAGTGTTTACTTGGAGCTGAATATAGCTAATTTTGAGCAAGTCATTCTCATATACATAAACAGTAAACAGGAAACATGAAACAAACAAAAAATTTGGAAGACAGTGATAATATCTGAATAATTGCAAACCAAAAGGTGCCCAAATTGGATATTCTATATAGCTTGGAAAACTCTGGGGCAAGGAGGAGAGACCGTAGGGAGGAGCCGAGCACTTTGTGAGGAGTGGGGGAAAAGCAAGGAATGATGCCTAATGGGACCACATGGGGTGGGAAGGAGAGATGTTGGGACCGAACAGTGCGGCTTGCTCGCGCGGTGGACAACGGCGCCAGATCTCCGGCGACGAAGCGGGCGGCGTCGTCAAGTGTGTGTGATGAGGTAGGCGTGATCTCATCATGGCCTTCCCTTCTAGTTCTAATCGTGACTGTATTGCAAGGCTTCATTCACAAAGGCAATGGCTTTGTGCGAAACCAAGAGAGCGGGAGTGATGTAGGCGACGCTTCGGGCTGCGACGACGAGCGAGGCGAGGCTATGTGGCCTTCGATTCTTCTCCTCTGAGACTCTTCTCTATGGGACAAGACGAGGGCAATCCGTCAAAATATTTCCTGAAACGTGGACCACGGGGTTAGACCCGCGGCCCGCGTTTAAGCTAAAACACAAATGCCATTTTCGTTGTCGCTTCCTGAACACGAGATCCAAACAATGAGACGGTGTTTTCAAAATGTCGTCACAGCTGATAAGTGCCCCAAACACACCCTTAGTGGAAGCGTCATGTAATTGGTTTTTTGTTGTAGTTCTACATGTTATCACTATGTTATAAGTCCCATTGGGTTTCTGACAGATGTAGGACTGCAAATCATGGTTGATAGGAACTTAGGTTTTGATGTATGCGTTGGGGTAGGTGAAATTTTGGTGAATGTAGGAAAGTTGGATTTTGAAATTTTTGGGTTAGGGTTAGAATTTGTGGTAGGGATAGTTTGGAATGATGGGTTATTTATTATTATTATTATTTTTAATTTGGATTGGGATGGGAAATAGATAACCCTAAATAATGTAGAGTTTGTGGGCTCTGGTGCACAACTTGACAGGAGAAAATGGAGGATTTTATTCAAAATTATATGATTGATCAACCAGTAGCAGGAGGGGTAGAGCACACATAAAATCATGTCGGACAATTAAAAAATTGGCCCTTCCAATTTTGGAGTTTTCTCTTAGAAGTCCTGTTGATACTTCTAGTGCAATGAAGCCCCTCAAGTAAACACAAGTTTTACCACAATAAAAGCTTTTTATTTATCATCTGCTTCCCCAGAAAAGAAAAACTAGCATTTCGAAGGTTTCAAATGAAGCAAAGAATAATTAAAAAAAAGAAAAAAAAAGAAAAAATTAAATTAGTTAACTTTGCATTTGTAGTTATAATCAAAGTCATCTCAGATCCATCTTCAAAGATTTTCTTCTTACCTTTCCAAGGAGGCAATTTCTGGCTGTTGGTAGGTTTGCTAGCGGTCTCTGGTGCACAACTTCGCATATCTTAAGAGAATTGGGACCATTTTCAGCCAACTTCTTCTCCCTTTCATTCCAAATATTCAGAAGTTCAAGGGATGGCGCAGTCCCCACAATTCCTGGGTGAATTAGACCAGGAAAGCGCACACCTGTTTTGCATTATTTTAGCTTTTCAGCAGCAATATTAGTTTCCATTAAAATTTTCTTACTCTGCTAGAAGTAGTAGAACAATGACCTAGGAAAACAACCTGGTATCTGTGGGGAGTATGCATATATTCCTTCAAAGTACCAGATAGCTTTTGTTGCATTGGGGAAGTGGTCCGTCAAAAATCCGCCTCCATTTTCTCTGTCAAATGTTGCTGTGTAACCCCAATCATGTCCAGGAAGAGGACCTAAGTCACAGATTTCGATCGCAAGAAGATCGCCCGGCTTTGCTGGTATTCCTCCCTCGTCTGAAACTCTTATCGGCCCGCTAAGATAATGCGTCTGTACAAAAATTTTCATGCTCTGTTACTTTTGAAAAACTTACTAGCGTTCTTATGTCAATTCGGCAGATACTTACCGCCTTTTATAGTTTAGCTAAGCAAACAGATCAATCAATTTGCTAAACACGTAAGGAAAGTAAAGATCCAAACCCTAGATCGAAATCCCGCTCTTTCTCTTCCATCTGTGACACATCTAACCGAAATTCAAATTACACACTAAACTGCTAGACCAGATTAGTATTTTCTTTGTACTATTGATATCAAGATCTGATCATTATAGGCTCGTTTAGGTTTAAGCATCAAACTGGGCAGCTTATTTTGCATAGAGACACAGAATGGAGACTTCGTGTCTGTGAGAGATAAATAGGCTGATGCTTTTCTTGCAGAAACTGGAACTTACAATGGTGAAATCCAAAGATTTGATGTCCATGGCTGAATCATTATCGGCGACAGCTCCGCCCGTCCAGTCCATCATCTCGAGCCGAAATACCTCTAACTCTGTTACATCTGCAACTGGGGGTATGCGAGGATGCCAGCGGTTGTGTAGAGGGTGCCTCTGCTGCCATGGCTTCTTATTGGGATCGATCGGCACTACTAACCTGGGGCTACGAGGAGCCATTACTGAGCTTGTAAGATAAGTGAGATGGTGAAGAGAATGGATTCTCTTGTGCTGGCCTTATATTGATTAAAATATTACGGAGTAGTGGTGGTGTAATTCAGTAGAAGTTTTGGATTTTATTAGTGTTAGATTTACATGTCTTTTGAATGAAAATTTGCATTTTACTTTGTAGAAAAGAGTAATATTGTGCTTTATTTATATTATATGAAAGATTTGAATGTTATAAATGTAAAAATTAAATTTTGAGGATTGGAGAAAAAATATTATGTCTGGTTATGGATCGTAACATGTTGGACATTTGACGGCGTGGTGCGATATTCACCATCAGCCACGCCTCTGTGTCTCGACATAATATTTCTTTCAGGATTGAGGGTTGCATATAGACCTGTTCAATAATTTATTGAGAGTTGCATATAACCCCTTGTAATCCCCGTGTAACCTCCTGTGTAACCTTTTACGTACGTAACTCTTGCGTACACTTGACGTACGTAATTTTTTTCCCAAAAGAAGAAACCATGTAAGTTAGGGATCATTTTCATTACTGCATATATATGTTGGCAGAGTGGCGGAACTAAGTTAAGTTCCCAGTTCCCACCTGAAATTTACAATTTCTCTCTATAAATAATAAAGTTGATTTATTTATATTACCAGCCTGCTTTTAATCAGTCTGATCTTCACCTCAGCTTTCCTTATTGTATTTTCATAAGCTATTTAAATAACTCAAATTTGATTGAAACTACTCGAATTTCATTTTATAAATTGAAGAAATGAATTGACATATTAATACGAGTAAAAGAACACAGAAAAAAAAAAAGAAAAACATTGGAAAACATTTCCCTTAAATAATTGAAAGCATATTAATAAATGAAATAAATAAAAATAACATATCAATGGATGAGATAAGTAACAAGAAGCGCCACAATCATGAGCACATAAGCAACTCCTTGTTCAACAGCTTTGCCATCGTTGCTCATCGGAGGTTCTGCAGCAGGAGCCGGCGCCGTGGCTTTGGCGGGGGCGAGCCGCATCCAGCCCCAAAAGAAGAGCGCAAATTCTGATGCTATTCATCTTCCAATTTCTGTACTTAATTGCTCACAAATTTATCCCTGTTTGAAGGCAAATGAGAAGAGCTTTGAAGAGGAAGAGAGAATAAGATGGGATGAGAAGAAGGCAGAACATACTCTTCTTATTTATAATGGGAGGGGAGATGATTAGCGGTAGGCCATCATTTGCTTGATATTGACCTGGTAAGACGTTAGAGTTGTCTTTTTGAATTGAATCTTTCCACGCAGCTATAACCTAGCTCATATGTACATATTGCAGCGCTTGAAGACATAAACAAATTATTATTTTAATACATACAGCTGTTTTAAGCCTTTGTCAGCATTTATATTTTTGCGCTAATTGCTGTGATGGAAAGTAATCCTGATGCCTACATGTATTTTGAGTCCTAGCATGACTTGGCAAAAGTTTTATTTAATGAATGACATAGACCAATTCAGATAGAAGCCAACTTAAAAAAAAAAAATAGGATTTAATTCAGCAGAAATATTCTGCTTAAGCACAAGCTTTGTCTCGAAAACAATAAATCAAATTTAATGATGTGATAACTCATTTATGAGGCAAATGATTACTGAATCAACTAAATGATAATGCTTATATGTCTTGTTTATCCACATTTTCTTGTAAAAATATTTTCCAATTTATATTGGAGATGATACAATATAGTGATATTATATTTCTGCCCTTAGTTTAATTGGAGTTGAACATGATTTTCTAGGCATTTTACATATATGAGTATCACTCGGTTGTTCTCTGGCTTAGTCGTTGAGCTTGTTTGGCTTCGACTTTGTAAGATCATCTTTGTTGGTTAGGCTGAGTCGGTGTTGTCGATAAGTTGGACTTGATTAACTTTGGGTCAACATGATTGATTAAATCGGCTAGGATTTGCCAATAATTTGATTAGTTTGGTTTTCGACACTCAATCCTTGAACCAAGAGCTCCTGTCGGTGGAGTGCTGACTTGACTATAAGATATAGGGTCAATTATCAGAACCTAATAGGCACCTTGTTCTTCAACGAGGAGAGCCCGTATGATGATATAAGACTATGTTGCCTTGAAAATCTTTGATCTCTAATGAAGAGTCTCGGGGGGCGTCCGTGGGATGACTAGTGATATTGAAGAATTGAGTCTTTCCTTTGGTTGAATTTACCGAAATGTAGGTTACTTCCTTCAATCGGTTTTTTTTAAGGATTGGCTCGAATGCTTATGTCTTGTTTTAGGTTGATAGGTTTGGATTCAAATCAATCGATCATCCTTTTGTCCTTCTCTAGGCTCGATCGACCTTCGACTTTGGCTCGGGCAGTTGCTTCTGATCGTATTAGTGGGTCTCATGGCCTTATATTGGTGGGTCTCTGTTTGTCGTACTTTCTTCCTCTATGATAATTAGATCTCATTGGGATTAGCACTGACACATTTTTTATGTACATATTTTAATTTTCTATTTCTCTTACTTCTTGAAAGTGAAGTTGTAATAAGAATAAGTGAATTTAATGCAAAAAATATATAACAACTAATCTTTAATCAATGATTTTATAATTGCACTCTCTGAATTTTTGTGTCATTGGTTCTTATAAAAAAGATGTGGCGGGACTCTGTTATTTCATATTTTCTTTATATCTCTTCTCATATGAATTGGTTGACTTTCAATCATTTTCATGGAGAGTGTGTCGAATACTCTAATTTATCTCCTCAACAAGGAGATCACTACAGGAAAATGAAATATAATCTACGAAAAAATTGACGACCTAAATATACGTCGAAAAAAATGTACCAATTTTCGATAGCATAACGACGGTTTATCATCTCGATTATTTGTGACGGCTTAACTACATGATATGTCGTCGCTTAGCTATAGTATTTTTTTTTTCCAAAGGTGTTTTATTATTGCCGTTGAAATATATTGTCGGTTATAATTGATTATTAACCAATAGACCTACTTCGTAGGTTATTTAGGAACCTGTTATTTGGCGGGGTGTTAACCGACGAGTTATTTTAATAAATGACAACAATCGTTATCCATAATAATGTTAAAACTGACAGATTTTAGGCTGCTTGTAAGTCGTCGGTAAATGCTTTCATTAGGTCCAACCCACCCAAATCTCTCATTTCTTCATGTTTTCTTCTCCTGTTCAGCTCGCGCTCGCCCTTGCTTCTTCCCTCTCTCCTTGAAAGCTCCGTCATCTCTCTTGCCTGAGCTCTCTCTCGATTTTGCCCAAGACCATCCCCTTCACAACCGAGTTCTAGCTAGCTGGAATTATGTATAACGAGATCACGATTTACAAAAACACGATACTCCCATTTTTCTTCTTTATCCACTCCTCTCCCACCCAAATCCATTCACCAAGGCAACTTTTCGTCTTCTTTTTCATGCAATTTCATGTCGTTGTTTGGTTGTGCTTTTGATTTATATTAAGGGGTTGTTTGGTTGTAATTAGGGTTTAAGTTAAATAGGATTTAATAAAATCCCTATGATATCATTTTGTACGTTGATAGCCCCTAGCTCTGCTTTGAGAAATTATTTAAGGAAAGGCTTGAAGATTAATGTTTCAGTGATCATCATAAATAACATGTAGACATTATCGTTGTTACCTTGAGAAGAATACTGTAAATTTAGACATTTCCACAATAATAATGAGAAATATGACAACACAACAACACAAAATTGCTATGAAATCATTTTAAGCATTGATAGCCCCTAACTTTGATTTGAGAAACTATTTAATGATAGCCTCAATGAGTACTTCTCAGTGATCGTCATCAATAGTATGTAAACATCATCTTCCTTATATATAGGAGAATGTTGTAAACAAATTCATAGACATCCCCACAATACTATGAAGCAACAGGAAAATAAAATCATTTTGTTAGTGTAAATTTAAAGCAGATTTTGCTAACTATAAGCAACCATACGAAGAATTCTCTCAAGAAACAAACTTGATGCTTAATTCATTATGTTCATAAAAATCAAATATTTATTAATAATTTAATATTAATTAAATATTGATTCCCTATTCAATTCCATATTTATGATAGTAAAAAAAACAAAAAAATTGATTTTTTAAAGTTAAATATTTGATATCCTTTAATTTTTTATCTCGTGAGTCTCATATTAAGTTCAGTTTTCCTTATTGTATTTTTATAATCTATTTAAAAAAATCAAATTTGATTGAAATTCACTCGAATTTCAATTTATAAATTGAAGAAACGAATCAATATATTAATATGAGTAAAAGATTACAGCCAAAAAAAAAAAAAAAAAAAAAAAAAAAAAAAAGGGGAAAAAAAAAACATTTCCCTTAAATAATTGACGGCATATTAATAAATGAAATAAATAAATAAATAACATATCAATGGATGAGATAAGTAACAAGAAGCGCAACAATCATGAGCACATAAGCAACTCCTTGTTCAACAGCTTTGCCATCGTTGCTCATCGGAGGTTCTGCAGCAGGCGCCGGCGCCATGGCCTGGCCTCGAGCGAGCTGCATCAGCCCTAAAACGAAGATGGAAAGAAAGAGAAGAGCGCAAATTCTGATGCTATTCATCTTCCAATTTCTGTACTTAATTGCTCACAAATTTATCCCTGTTTGAAGGCAAATGAGAAGAGCTTTGAAGAGGAAGAGAGAATAAGATGGGATGAGAAGAAGGCAGAACATACTCTTCTTATTTATAATGGGAGGGGAGATGATTAGTGGTAGGGCATCATTTGCTTTACATTGACCTGGTAAGACGTTAGAGTTGTCTTTTTGAATTGATTCTTTCCACGCAGCTATAACCTAGCTCATATGTACATATTGCAGCGCTTGAAGACATAAACAAATTATTATTTTAATACATACAGCTGTTTTAAGCCTTTGTCAGCATTTATATTTTTGCGCTAATTGCTGTGATGGAAAGTAATCCTGATGCCTACATGTATTTTGAGTCCTAGCATGACTTGGCAAAAGTTTTATTTAATGAATGGCGTAGACCAAGACAGATTGAAGCCGGCTATTAAATAAAATATTGGAT